CTGTCTCACATCCGAGCGTGTATTATTCTTTGTGTGGCTGTCATGTGGTTAATAGCAGTCACGGTAAAGCTGTGCATTTTGGTATTCTCGCTCATAAGTACACAGTCTCTACACCTTACAATAAATCCTGTGAAGCACACTGAGATGTTTCGACGACGTGATAAGGCACTCTGTCAAACCCAAGGATTACTGTGATCTTTGCCAGGGTTGTGGAGGAATTTCAATGCAAAGCAAGAGTGCTAAACGTTTAAAACTTCAGGCGGGTTGATGAGTTTTCCATGTCTTGATGTTGTTTTTTATTCAAAAGCTCCTTTCGGTAACTTAATCACATTGAAATATTTTTCTTGAATCTGTTTTAGTGCATCATAATTCTTTATGACAGATTCAAATTGTCTTTGCAGAAACTATTGCTTTCGTTGGCCACTTACCAGAAGCCACGCAATGCTCATGGTTTCATGGAACCCACTATAAAAATTACTCAGCTACAAGTGGTTAAGTCATCGGTTGCTTTCCTGAAGGAACATTACTGTTAATTTCTTTGACTCATCAAGCAACATATCCACACAAATTGGCCTTTCCTAGCTGTTATGGGACCATTGTGTCCGTGTCGAAAGGTAATTTTAAAGCAGCTAATCGTCAAGCAGACGTGGGATTCAGATGGGCCTATCGTTCCGTTGGGTGGTAATATGCCAAGCAACAATCTCATCAGCCTCGTGCAGCAAAATCCAAGCAATAGATTCATGCGAAAGGGGCATAAAAATTAACTAAAAAAGTAATTAAAAGTTAAAATCTTTCCTAAAGATTGGAAAAAATAAAGCGTTTGTCAACAAAGGTAGAAATGATAGAAGGAAGAGTCACCTGTTGATAGGTAACTGCATTTTTAGATTATCACCTGGTTATAAGTGTGGGCAGATAGCAATGTGTTTTGGACCATTTGGGGGGTAGCCTTCTCTAAGTGTGTGTCTGTTGAGTTACCGTGGTGTTCTTATTTTGCAGCCACTTGCATCGGTAAAGAGTTTTCCTGAAGCAAAGTAAGCCAATGCCAGGTTGCAAGAAGTGAAATACTGTAAACCCGAAAGAAATTTCACCCAATCTTAACCGGTAATATCGTTTTTCTTCAAATTTAAGGTTGTGCGAATTTCTGGAATTTCTTGTGAGGGTTCGAGGGAAGGGCTTCTTATATATATATATATATATATTTTTAAAAAATCAGATGAGAAATTAGCTCCATCATTTCTTTCTGATTCTTCAAATCTACCCCTGTGGCTCTAGCTGGATCCCCGAGAGAGAAATGGGGGTATAATTCTCTATATTTTTATAACATGTAATCCCAGTTGGAGTAAAATCTAAAGGGGTCCCCTTTACACAGACGCTCAAAAATATTACTGGGAAACATGAGTGGGGGGAAACAGAGCCCCTGAATAGCAGATACTGACCTTTACGTTCAGTGAAGCCCCTAACAAAACCAGCTGCGAGATATTCAAGCAGTAAATCAGGCTGATTTCTACCATATGTGTACGAAACACCATTTATAAAATAAAATGTAATTTCGGACAATGTGCGGGTGTTTGAGTTTTACCGACAGTGGTGTTTGACGGACAATTTATGGGTCTCAGATAGTTCTGTGGATGACTGCTAATATATTCCCGGCCGGGCGAAACATCGGGCAAGGTTCCTTACTCCACTAAGGACCTGGTTGTTCGTCGTTTGGCAGATCGCTTTTCCGGGGATAATAATCCTTTCTCAAAAAATAAAGAAATCAATAAATAATTTTGTCACTTAATCCACGACTGTTTGTGGGGACGTTGAAGTGGGCGATTGGCTGCCGCGTTTCACCCACAAAACATACAGTCAATTCACTTTACAGTGTATCCTGAGATGTCTCGAAGATGTAATAAGGCACTATATCAAATGCAAGGATTATTATTATTATTATTAATATTATATGCTACGACTGTAGCACTCTCAATAGTGGCTCTTTCCCCTTGAGGTCTCTCATTGCTCTGTTTTTCTTTCTTGACCTCCTCTCTCCCTCTTTTCCAGTTAGTTTCTTATTTTAATTTTTCTGCCCCCATTTGTCTCCCTCATTTTGCTTTCTCCATTCCCTTGTCATAATTTACGCAGCTTTCTGCTACAGAGGGAGCTGTCTCACTGTATAGATCTCAGGCGCCCAACATTACTCTGAACGGACTTTAGTACTAATGCATGAAGCCAAACATCTCTGCATCTACTTAAATTAGAGACAATTAAATCCACGGTGTACGTCAGACAGGCTGTTTGTTGTTAGAAATAATGCTGGAAATTCAATAAAGAACAGAATAAACTCTGAGACGGTAAAATAATGACAAAGGACTTAATTATAAACTGAAATGATATATAATAATAATCCTTGCATTTGATTACAGGGCCTTTTCACATCTTTGAGGCGTCTCAAAGCATTACATAACCGTGTAATTCATTCACTACCCAACAATAACTTGCAATTATATAACTGCGCCCTCACACAGGGTAGTGTCTCGGAGGGATTAACAGCCTTGGCTCTTGCCAACCTATGCCTAACCCTAATTAGGTAAACAGGATGCATCCCTCCAGGGAGAAAGTAGGCATTTCCCTCGATACAGGAAAATTCCCATGTGTAGTTGCCATACATCTGTGAAACTCTGTCTGGTTTGGATATTCTTAAGTGTCGTGGTGGGTTCCCACACATGTCCGTCCGTCACCCAGTTGACCATAACATTAACACAATGCAACATTGCATTGGTAAAGCTGCTTTCAAGTCGGGAGGATGTCCCGAGGCACAGAGTTGCCTCATTGCGGGTACAGTTCTAACAGAGCTGCCCAAAGGAGTTTTGTGCAGCGGCTTAAACAGCTGGAGCTGACTTTACGCACAGATACCAAGGAGGGAAATCCAGCAACATTCACAAGGTCAAAGACCACATGCGCCCCCTCCTGGTACACAGCTTTAACGTGTGACTTCATCAAGTTTACACTTCTGATTAACATGTGAATATGTTGGATTGGATCTCCAGCGTGCTGGCATGGATTCAGCTGTCCTGTCATGGTTCTCCCACCGCACGAAGGCAGATGTCCTTCAATTAGTTGAGTAAACTCTGGGTTTGGGATGACTGCTGCAGGAAGGCGTTACCTGGAGTATGTGGTCATACGCCTCCAGGGCTTGGTGTCCACCCCGGTCGGTTTGGCACAGGGATAAGCAGCTGCTAATGGAACCGTGGCTCAATGGGTAGGAATCTGTGTCTGAGCCGTGGGCAGAAGGACGGCGGAAAAGCTGAGCATTCAGACTGAGCTTTATTATTCACAAAGAGGCTCACACTGCAGCCCTTGCACCCACTCTACAACAACAACAACTTGCGTTTACATGGCGCCCTTCACGGCGAATGGCGAGAGCGCAAATAGACTTGCCATTGATTTAAGACCAGACTCACCTAGACTAGTGCAAACATCCGTCGGGACCACTTGACAGTCCCAGGGAGGCCACTCGGGCCATGGTTGGGCCACCACTGCACTGAGGTCTCCTCCAGCACATCTCTTTTCAAGACTGAACAGCTCCGGCTCGTCTAATCATTGCCGTATCTGAGCTGAGAATGTTTGATTGAGGTTTGCATTCTACAACTTACCAGTGCTATTCCTGTCGTGAGACGATTGAATCTGACACTGGTTTGCCACATCGGAGAAGCGTTCCATTCCCCTGGGCTATCATTATCTTGAGAAAGCACCAAAAAACTCAGCAAATATCTTGTACGAAGAAACAGAAGCCAAACCTATACGAGGCCAAGACTGCGTAAGGAGTCGAGCCTTGTTACAAAGATACGTTTAAAATATTTGAACGTAAGAAAAAAATTCACAGAAATAACCCTTCGTTTTATTTCCGCCAACTTATCTTATAAGCTCAGCCTGAAATTACCGGCCGTTTAGGAGCGAATTACAAATCTGAAACGAACACCTTCAGCGTGTGAAACGTGTGTCATTCAGTCAGAAGGGAGGATTTAACTAACCTGCCTGGCGATGTGCGACAACACAACAACAACAACAACAACAAGATTGCATCTATAGAGCGCCTTTCACGTCGGGCGGACGTCCCGAAGCGCTGGACAGTTGGGCACCACTTTAATTTAATTTGATTTCATTAATTTAATTGATAGCACTCCGGTAAATCATTCCTTCCCGCTGCGCTCCGAAATCTCCAGTTTCTCTCTAGTGATCGTCGGGCGTATTAAACATTTCCAAAACCCATCGACATCTTTCTCCCTCTCTCCCTCTCCCTCTCTCCCTCTCCCTCTCTCCCTCTCCCTCTCTCGGCAGACAGACAGACAGACAGACAGACAGACAGACAGACGGCCGTGTGCATTTTATGTCCCGGCAAGTGGGCGAGCGCGCCGTCACCTCGTGTCGGCGTCAGCCGCCCCCAAAACCAAACCACCCTGGACCTCACTCCCGTGATAGCCGCGACTCGGCTACACGCGTTGGCATCGGTGCCCGCGGGCCACGTCCCCGCCGGAGAGTCTTACCCTACGCGGGTGGGTGGGTGGGCGGGTGGGTGGCACACCGATCGAGTGACGGGGGGTGGGGGGGGGGGTCCCCGGTTGGTGCCAGCGGGGCCCCCCCTAATGCCGCAGAAGTCGGGTACCGACCGGCGCAGCGTAACACCGCGACAACGACGACAACGTCGACGACGACGATGACGACGACGACAACGACAACGACATGACATCGATGGGGGACAGTACCGCAGCTGTGACGGGTGTCACATTGTGGCGGTGTCGCGCTGACACAGTGTCGCGCGCGGAGCAAAGCGATACATACATTGTTGCACTGTCGCATTGTCTCCAACGCGCGCGCGAGCGAACGAGCGAACGAACGCGCGATACATTGTTGCAGTTCCGGCATTGTCCGGAGCGTCACGTGGCGGCGGATACATCGCAGCCGCCGCGCAGCCGCAGTCGTGGCCACTGGATGGCCTGACACCCCCCCCCCCCACCCGGGGGAGGGTCGGGGCTCCCAGGTCAGGTAACAGCACCCCCTCGGCACAGAGCCGGGGGTCCCCCCCCGGGGGGGTGGGGGGGGGGTCAGGGCTCAGCTCCACACACACTCACCGACTCCCGGGGGGGAGGAGGGGGCAGAGGGGGTGGGGTGTGAGGGGGGGAACCCCCTTTACACTATCACAGCCTCAGGGCTGTGTTAAGTCTCTCACACCCCCTCCCACCCCCACCACACCCCACCCACCGGGGCTCAAACACCTCCACACCTCAGTACTTCCCTCACTGTCTCTCTCTCACACACACACTCTCACACCACTCTCTCTCACACACTCACTCACTCTCACACACACTCACTCTCACACTCACTCACTCACACACTCACTCACTCTCACACTCACTCTCTCACACACTCACTCACACACTCACACTCACTCTCACACACACTCACTCACACTCACACACACTCACTCACACTCACCACACACTCATACAGTCTCACTCGCTCTCATTCACACTCACACACTCACTCACACACACACACTCTCACTCTCTTTCACACTCACACACTCACTCACACACACACACTCACACACTCATACAGTCTCACTCGCTCTCATTCACACTCTCACTCACTCTCACACCTTTTTTTCTCTCTCTCTCTCTCTCTCTCTGCAATTTATTTTAACAACTTTCCCCCCAACTCCAACTGCAGTGGGGACTGAAGCTGAAGCTGTTTCCTGGCGACTGCGAACTGCCTCCAACAACTGCTGAGCTGTGGGATATGGTGATCGCTGTGCAAATCCGGAGGATGTATCGATACCCATTCGAGAATGTGGTCGACACACATTTAAATAAGGTATTGATTTCTGTCCCAAAGCGAACACAGTCCCAAATATTTGCCCCAGAACTTACTTCTACATTCTACCCAACTCTGGGTCTTATCCTTTTTTTTTGCTCAGACACATGTCTGACACATGTGGAGGGGAATCCATCTCTCAGATCCATCCCCACATGTTTTAAGCCATCCACACATGGACATTTCCCTGTGTCTGGAATGCAACTCCAAACCCTCTCCCCAGAGAGAAACATCTGCTTAATCCCAGAGGGAATTTGGTTGCTGGTTGGAAACAGCCAAGGCTTGAGAAGCCCATTATTCTTCTTATTATTATACATTATTATATGTTATTATTATGTTCTGGGATATTGCTGGAGTCTAACCAGCTAAAGCCTCGCAGCTCACTGTCCGTGGCACTGTCTGGAAAGCTTCCCATCACCTGTCCAGCAAGGACCACCCTCGCCATTACGGCTTTGACTCGCAGGAGCTGAGTCAGAAGAATCCTGGCTCTCTGCGACTGGTTTTGCCCCTGGTTTGTCAAATGGCGGATAGCTTTTCCGGGGGTGGTCCATCAAAAAGCTGAGGAGTTTTCTGTTGATTATACGGCTGAATGCCAAATGTTTGCAGGTACAGCAAGCCATTACGCAGTCTATGATTAATGTCAATCGGGTGACTTGTATTGGGAAAACATCAACATTTCCGATGTTTGAAATCAACAACAACTTCCATTTATGTAGCGCCCTTCATACATGATAACGCTTCAGACCCTTAACACTGGCGGAGTTTAAGTCCGAGCTGAGACTATAGAAGAATTGTTCTCAAACTTATTGTACTGTAGTGATGTGTAAATTCAATAGTGTCTTTTTTTTATAGTATCTTAACATTCATTGTTATGGGACTTGCATTCATTGCGCCAGCATTACCATTCAGTACTCAGAATTAAAGCTGTATAATAATATCAGTAATCTTTGCATTTGATATAGCGCTTTACATGATACACTGTAAAGTGTAGTGACTGTATTTTGCAAGCGAAAGGCGGCAGCCAATTGCGCACAGCAGCGTCCCCGCAAACAGCCGTGGATTGAGTGACCTGATTTTTATTTTTTGAAGGCATTTGTATGACTACTACAGAAGCAAAGGTACAATTATACACCCATCTGCCTTCAGCGCATTAAAATAATGAGCTAAAGGATAGCCGCGATAGGGTTGAGAAGGTTCCAGGATGCGTTCAGCCCTCATTCCATCATTGTACACATCACCGTGTGAAATTGTGCTGAGTCAGTGAGGGGTGAGAGGTCAGGATAAAAATGTCCAATTTCTAATTATTTCCACAAGAGGCCACTGTGGCTTTAGTTGAAAATGTGGCGATGGTTGACTTTGTGCTACTCTTTTTTTAAATTAAAAAAAAACATCAATTTGGTTCCATGTTGAAATTGAAAGGCGAATTTTTCAAGTCCCTGAAAACGGTTCGGTTTTAATTAATAACAGTCCTGGGGTTCGATACACAGCGCCTGATCACGTCCACCGAGACGTCTCAAAGCGCGTCACAGGATTATACTGTAAAGTGAATTGACTGTATCTTCGGGGGCGAAAATTCTCCATGGATCTTCCTCGCCAAAGTATCCGACATGGGTTCAGACTCGACATTGATCTCCTTCCAATCCCGGCCAGCACACGTGTGTTTGCTTCACTCTGGGGAGATGTTTGTGAGGCTAATGAAGATCCAGTTGTTCTGGATAAATAGCTCTTATGTAAATCAGCACTTTGGGGGAATAGTTTCAAGTTTGGGGCAATCCACCCGAAATCCCAACATTTCGGAAGAATATGCTGCCATTGTGTGGGAACCTCTCACAGGGGAGAGTCCCAGAGCCGCTTGAGAGTGGCGGAGCACGAGGCCGAGCCGGGGGGGAGTGGGAGGGGGGATGTGACCGTAGACACTGTCAAAGAGGAAGGTCTTCAGACGCGACCTGGAGATGGGGAAGGAAGGGGCGAGGCCGAAGGATAGGGGGAGAGTGTTCCAGAGTTTCGGGGCGTAGTGGTTGAAAGCGCGGACACCGACGGAGGAACGGAGGGCACGAGGGACAGGCAGAAGGCCGGCGCCAGCCGAGCGGAGGCAGCGGGCAGTGGGTGGGGGTGGGTAAGCAGGTTGGAGAGGTAAGGCATGAAGGGTCTTGAAATCGATCCGTTTGGTGATAGGGAGCAAGTGGAGCTCGGCCAGAACTGGTGTGACGGGGGTACGGAGTCCTGGTGTGACAATACCATCTACCAACGTATGAAATGGCCAATTTTAATAACGTGATAACATGATGGCTAATTGTGTGTAGAGAAAGTACTTCTAAGGGCTTATACTCACCAAAAGTCCTGTAGCTCAGTGGTTAGAGCACTCGCTTTGCAAGCGAGAGACCTGAGTTCAATTCCAGGCAGAGGGCGAAACCTTGGGCAAGTTTCCTTACTCCACACAGAGCCTAATAATAATCCCTCCAAAACAAAAAAAAAACAATAATAAATTGGTCATTTTCAATCTACGACTGTTTGTGGGACATTGCTGTGCGCAATTGGCTGCCGCGTTCGCCCACAAATATACAGTCAATTCACTTTACAGTGTGTTCTGTGAAGCGCTTTGGGACGTCCTCCCGACGTGAAAAGCGCTATATCAAATGCAAGGATTATTATTATTATATTATTAAAAGAGTAAACTTGGAAATTTTGCTTCTCTGAGTGAAGCCATGTTACTATTGCCTTAGAATACGCGATGAAATATTAATTCTCAATATCAAACAATACGAAGCATAGAGCAGCACTTTCCTAGACGTCTCTCTCGCATGGGAACACAGACGTGTGCAGTTGAGCGCAATGAGTTGTCTTTGCCAAATAATGTCTGTGTCATAGGTCAGGACTTGCTTCACAGAGATTTGCTGAATTTCGTGAATTTTCGAGGAAAACAAACTGCTCCTTTCTTGAAGTTGAGTCTCTCGAAAAGATCAAAAGTGCCTCTGGGAATTTGAACCCAATAGGGAAGCAGTTTCTGAGTCCATCTTTTAAGAATGGATTGGTGCCAGGAGCTCCGTAGGAGTCCTGTGGCTCAGTGGTTAGAGCACTCGCCTCGCAAGCGAGAGACCTGGGTTCAATTCCCGGGCAGGGCGAAACGTTGGAAACGAAACGAAAGTTTCCTTACTCCACACACCTCTGTTTACCCAGCAATAAGTAGGAACCCGCTTGTAAGTCGATTGGCGGATGGCTTTTCCAGGGGTAATAATTCCTTCAAAAAAAAATAATAAATACGTCACTCAAACCCACGACTGTTTGTGGGGACGCTGCTGTGCGCAATTGGCTGCCGCGTTTGGCCCGCAAAACATACGGTCAATTCACTTTACACTGTGTCCTGTGAAGCGCTTTGAGACGTTTCGAAGACGTGATAAGGCACCGTATCAAATGCAAGGATTATTATTCTTATAGATACCGCGTTACTGAACTGTAGAAAAATAGGGTCAAAGAACTCATTCTGCATTGAAATACATTTTAGTGAATGTGCCTTCAGCTGCTGCTGTTTGAAGCGCTACATAAATGTTCTTTACAATCTCGCTTTTAAAGTCAAGCTTCTGACCTCAAGCAATCGTTCTTGATTTATTTAGTACCCAACTCCGCTTGAGAAGCACATCACGGACGTTAAGATAATTGAAGAGAAAACAGGTAGGTGGAGGAGAAATTACAATTTTGTATTTTTAAAAAAGCAGCTGTTTCCCTGTGTTTTATTGCTGTAATTGCCTTTAAAATCAACAATGCAGAAACGCTTAGAAAGCAATGTTGTCAGAAAGCATGACTTTTTTGTTTAAAACGCTAACCCATTCATTGCTTTTGAAGCAACAATCTACAGGCAGGAGGGTTTTGTCAAGCACCGTATGTTACATTCTTTATTGCTTTTTTTTTTTGGATGAAAAAACGGAAAATTGGATTAACGCACATTTCCCCAGCGGAGAAAGCGAGATTATTCATTTTGGTTAAAGTTACCCTTTGCTGGGTCGAGATCAAGTGTCAGAAGTACAGGCCTCAGAATAGACCCTGTGCAGGCTATATTTTTTTAACCAGGTTTAGAAAGCATTGAATATGATAATAATATTAATAATCCTTGCATTTGATACAGCGCCTTATCCCGCCTTCGAGACGTCTCAAAGCGCTTCACAGAATAGACTGTAAAGTGAATCGACTGTATATTTTGTGGGCGAAACGCGGCGGCCAAATTGCACACAATTCCGATTGTGTAACCTTTTTTTTTTGCCTCTGTTTTTTTTTCTTTCAGATGCCTCCACAGGAGTGGTTTACAGGAGAAGTTTAGCCACTTGTAGCAATGTCATTCCTCTGTTTTTGAGAAGGGTGGGTGCTGGCTCCCCAAATGTAACGGGCCTTCGCAGCCCCTGTGATCCCACACGTTTTGTAACTGCCAAACTCAACATTTTATTGAGAGCCTTCGCTCGAAAGAAATCTCTTTTGTAACACTTTCGTTTTTAAAGAACTTTGAACTCTTTACAACCACTTTGTTCTGTGCTTGGCATGAACTCTACTGAACCTCACAAAGAGCCTCCAATTGGGGAGTGGGGGCGGAGGGGGAAGGGAATCAAATTAATTACAGCCTTCCAGACTTTTGTCTGGTCGGGGAAGAGGTTTGTCTCGTGATCTGGTTTGAGCTGAACCCCATGTGTAACTGGGTGGTGTCGGGCAGGACCTGGATTCCACCATTTGGTTGTGTACCAGGTGTTTAGTATCACTGCCTGGTTTGTGAGTGGTTTAAATCTGGAGCTTCAAATCTGTACCACTTCGCTGGACTTGACCTGGGTAACGCCTGAACCATCTTATCTTTTTGACACGGGCATTAAAAAAAATCCTTTAATATGACCTAGACTTTCTCTAACATGGCCAGTAACACCTCTTCAGAATGAGGTTGCACACAGGTGACGGAAAAAAAAAATGTTACTGGTATATATCTCTCTATATATATTTCAGTTTTAGACAAAAGCATCTGTGAAGTAGCTGGAAAATGCTTAGGATTAGTCTACATTTATCACCCAAAGGTCTTCTTAAGATTAAGATAAACCGTTTACTTTGTCTGGATGGATAGTTCCAGGATCTCAAGGTGAACTGCATTCATCTGGAGGAAGAGTCGTGGCTTGACATGAGGCAGCGAATCATGAACGTGAAGAGCCGCTGTGTTTCGTGGACACACTATGCGACCTTAAGGGAAGAGTCTGTCTTCAAAGCAAGTGTAGAGAACCCTAACTGGTAAGCAAGTAAGTAAGGACACTGACTTCGAAGTTACCATAGGTTACTGTTATGTTATTTTCTTTATTCGTCGTTTCTCCTTCACTGATTGTGGCAGTTTCCTGTAAGGATTCTCTCTCTCTCTTTTGCTTTTGTCCCCTACAGGAACTCTGTCATCTTATTGCTTGTCTGGCTCTGGAGAACAGCGTATTGACCCAAAGATAAACAGTCGCCCTGTTTACAATGCGTTGCTGTTGGTTCTATGTGTCTCTCTCACAAGTGTTACCAATGTTTCTCAAAGAGAGATTGTGACCCGTTGTCTTCAGATTAAACAAACTAATAATAGCACTTGCAAACGATTGAATGAAAGAGCGAAAACAATGACAGACATACTACAGAGTGCTTTCATTAGCTTGTGGCGTTTATCCAGTCGTGTTTGATCTCTGATCTATTGAGTAAAATGTTTTTGCTTTCTCCCCCTCCACCAGCCCACTCAGACGGGGCATGAATTTTATAAAATTGTTGTCCATCGCCCAAAGATTATTCTGAGTTCATAGTGCGCTGACCATTCATTCAGCTTCTGGAACAAGCTCCTAGATGTTGCCCTTAAATTGGGCCCCTTCCCAAAAGTCTTGAAAACTGAAGCTCTTGATAATCACAGTGCGAAAGAAGTTATTTTCCCATCATCTCCTCCCGTACGTAGCACTTTGAGCAATTTCAACAAGATGATAAAGTGCTATTTCAAATTTCGAAGATTATTTTATTATAAAAATGGCTTTGCAATATATTCCGAGTTACATTGTGTCACAGCGAGAATCTGTCAACCAAAGTACCGCAAGGACCGTGGTTTTACAGCCAATGTTTTTGTCATTGAGTTCTTTTAAATGAAACCCAGCCCTCAGTTCATTGATGCTGATGCCTTTTAAGTACAATTCCTGACGCTGTACTTTTGTAAAATTTGTTTGTTTGCGTCAGAATCTTTGGGCGGTGGGAAGGGATTCAGATAATATCACTAGTTCGGAGGAGTTTGCAGAAGTTCAGGGGTGGGGGGGGGGGGAAGATGCACAGTAGTTTGCTTTCAATTTTGTAGATGAGATACAGTTTTGGCAGCAAAAGAGGCATAAATAATTCTTTATTACTGAGGTCTAAGATAGAAAATCACGGTGAGGTTGGGGGGAAAAAAAGATTGTTGAATTGTTCGTAATGTACTGTAATTAAGAAAAAATCAGCAGTGTTTTCATACTCAAACACTGTGTGCTTTTCATTAAAGATGCTGTCTTACAGTGACTCGGGTCATGTTTGTGATGTATGTTGTGTCTCATACTGTTAAAATTAATTTCTGGTTGGCCTCTTTGTGTTTGATCTATTCTCTCTCAACTTGCAGTTCTAAATACTGGATATACTGGATCTACAAACGTGCAAAACATGAGATTTGTGGTATTTTGAACATTTCAGAAAGAAAAATTGCAATTTTTAAGAAAATAATTGGGTTTGGTACATCAACTTTCACATCGGGAAGTCGTCTCAAAGTAATCACTGTGCAACTTGTAGGCAAAGGGACCTCATATAGTCCAAGGTGACACTCCATTGCAGTTCTGGGGAGCGCTGCATTGATGGAGGTGCCGTCCTTGAGGTGAGACTTTAAACCCAGGTCCCAGCTGCCTGTTCAGATGGACGGTAAAAGATCCTGCGGGGCAGAAGGGAGCTTCTCCTGGTGTCCTGATCAGATCCAGTATGTCCTGTAAAATGCTTTGAGATGTCCTCCCAGTGTGAAAAACGCTTTAACAAGTGCAAGGACTATTGTTAGTATTGTTATTATTATTTTGGGAGTTCGGTGGTTACTTTAAGGACAGAGAAGTGATAGCAGTGAAACCATTTGACTCCCCCTTTAAAAAAAATAATAAATTGGTCTCTCAGTCCACGACTGTTTGTGGGACGCTGCTGTGTGCAATTGGCAGCTGCGTTTCACCCACAAACTAATAGTCAATTCACTCGAAGACATGATAAGACGCTACATCAAATGCAAGGATTATTATTGTTACGAATTTGTTTCATGTAGACATTATCATTGTAATCGACCTTCTTTATCTGGAATGACCCAACTCTGGTTAACATTATTCACGTTCTTTCCAGGACGGAGTTTGCTCAACACGGGAAGGTGTCTGTGACTGGAGTGGGCCCCTTCAACGGTGTGTTGGAGCTCTTTGCTCAGACTTTTTTAAACCGAGTAGTTAAACAGGTACGTACGTGCAAGAGGTCAACCACCAAGATTATCCTGGGTTGAAATCTTTCAGTTTCTTTTAAATTGAGCTCCGGGGGCATTGCTCGCGGCTGAATGTTCTTCGGAAAACTTTCAGTGAGTCTGATTACTGCTGTGCCGGATACCCTTTACATTGACCCAGAACCGTTCAACTTGTAAGATTGTAAGACGAAAATCGGACTCGGATATAGCCTCGAGTGACCACCTCCTCATACGCGTAAATCTCCCGCAAAATGCAGTCAGTTCACTTTACAGTGTATCCTGTGCAGTGCTCTGGGACATCTCGAAGACGTGATAATAAGCTGCTGTATCAAATGCAAGGATTATGATTATGATTATTATTAAATCAAATCCAGTGATGAATCCACAGGTAGGTTTTAAACCCACACTTGTTTGGTTGTTTTTTTTCCCTAGCCTGAATCCTTCTAGAAGGCAAAAGTTTGACGACGCTCAGCTGATCATTTATGTAGCTTAGAAACTGCACGGAAAGGCGCTCGTGACTGTGCGTGATTCGATAAAGTCAAATTGTCCAGTCTGCACACCTGTCCTGTCCCGCTCGTTATTTCTTATTAAACGACAGCAATTTATTTTCCAAATGGTATTGCAGTTTAAGTCCTGTGGAGTTTATATTTTCCAATGTGATGTGAAGCGGCATCGAAAGAGGCAGCAGCAGACTTTTTGTTGACTTTTCAAGACCATTGTTGTTTTGTAGATGGAGTCTCATCGGTTTGTCTCCCCTGAGTCTGCGATTTAAGCTCCTGATTTTCAGCTAAAAGCTGTGTATTGATTCAGCCATTGATTCTGCTGAAGACTAGACCGTGGCACTTTAGATCTCTTTTGAGAGTTTTCGTTTGATCTGGTTAATCGAGCAGTTAAAGCCAAAGTACAGAAATCTTTCTTTTTTTTTTTGTCTTGTAAGTCGTGACTTTTTCAAATTATTTTTTTACTTGCTGATAGTAGAGAGGTTTCAGTGCCGTGACACATCCAGAGTAACACACGCTCACACACACACACACACACACACAGCAATGTGATGCTCACTGTTTGTTTGTGAGTTTGAAATCTTGCCTCGATACAGCTACCACTGTTTGAAATTGAAGACGGATAAGGAAATCGAGACATTATCAGTAAGATGAACAGGAGGTTGTACAACCACCAGTAGGGCTTTGCCTGTTAGGCTATGGGGTGAAACCTTAATCAATAAAGCTTTTCCTTCCAAATTCTGGAGAGTAAAGGGAGAGAGTTCAGACACCGACATCCTCTAGATCGTTTCGCCCACAAAATATACGGACAATTCAATTTCCAGTATATTTTGTGAAGCGCTTTGAGACGTCTCGAAGACAGGATAAGGGGCGATAACAAATGCAAGAATTAATATTATTTGTAAAGCCAGTCAGCCAGATGGACCTTTGGCCGTATTTCGGGGTTTTTCCATAAGTAAATATCAGGGACCACACACCAGAGAATCTGCTTTATTAAAGTGCGTTATAACAAGGTCTGTGTTGCAGTGGGAACCATTTCATTGCATACCGTGGAAAATGCACCCCTAACAAAGACGATCGCATGAACAAGATGTGAAATTATTTTTACATATTGTGAAGCCGGTTCCTGTTGACTGATTCAGAGTATGTGCGCTGAGATTATTAATCAGTGACATTCACCGCTCTGTACATTCAGTCTCAGTAATTCTCTATTTGTCAGTCTCAGGGGAATACAACGGTCATACTAAGATCCTTCAGGGAAGCAAAAAATGCTCCAAATAATGTAGTAAATATTAAAAAAATTTCACATGGGTGCATTTCAAATAAATCCAGAACTACAATTTTAGCATCACTTTATGGTGCTGCATAATCTGCCACTGGGGTAGTGGGTGGAAGCCTCATTGCCTTCTTAATAGTATATTTATTGAGTGCAACCTTTTTTTGTATTTATTTCACCTAACCTCGTGTGCTGCTGTTGCTCGGAAGTTGAACTAAGAGAGCGTTTTCAGAGCGTTTTTCATTCCATGCAACAAGAAAACCTCTTGACACAGTCATTTAACACCATGACCTTACGTACATAGTCATTGAAAAACTGGGTCAGAGGGACTCACATCCGACAAGGTTACACACTTTCTGCACTGAGCAGAAAATATTCGAGACACTTAAGTGTAAAAACCCCAAAGCCAACACCGTTTTTCCCCAAAAAAGCCCAAAAATTATAATGTTACAGGAACACCGTTATAAATAACAATAATAATTTGGCCACTCAATCCACGGCTGTTTGTGGGGACGCTGCTGTGCGCAATTGGTTGCCGCGTTTCGCCCACAAACTTCACTTTACCGTATATTCTGTGAGGCGCTTTGAGACATCTCGAAGACGTGATAAGGCGCGATATCAAATGCAAGGATTATTATTATTTATTATAACACTGCAGAAGTCAAAGCTTGGAATCTCAGATATATTGCAAAGATAAGTTAAGCTTTCTCAAATCTACATTCTTCCATTTTATTAATAATGATTAGGAATGTCTGATGATTTTGGAATGTTTTTAATATATGACAGATGATTCCTGTTGAGTTCAGGCACAGATCCACACCCAGGTGTAAAACATCACTTTGCTATTCCCTCTTGAATGAAAACCTTGTGACATCCCATAATGTGGTTTAATGCTCAATTCCAGATTACTCTTACAAAATCCTAGAGGTTTCCTGTCACTCAGACTGTCTCTTGGTCAATTGCTTTCTGTGTCTCATTCAATCGACTGGATGTAAAGTGTCCTATTGCACAAGGCATTCAATCTGACGTGGGAGAAAAATCTAAAGGATCCAAATGCAGTGTGATCAGTTCCACCAGTTGTGGAATGGAATAGGCCACCAATTTAAGACACCTACTCTGCTGACTGAAGATCTGTAGTGGGCATTGTCCAACTCAGGAAAAAACTGATAAGGAAAAATGAGAGAATCCTAATTTTTGGCTGAACTATTGTAGTAATAATAATAATAATCTTTGCATTTGATACAGCGCCTCATCAAATCTTCGAGACGTCTCAAAGCTCTTCACAGAATACACTGTAAAGTGAATTAATTGTATATTTTGTGGGCGAAATGCGGCAACCAGTTGCGCACAGCAGCGTCCGACCCACAAACTGTCGTGGGTTGAGTGACCATATCATTATTATTATTAATACATTTTTGGAGGGATTATTACCCACAGAGAGTGATCCGCCAATCGACTGGCAACCGGAAAAGCGATTGTAATTGCAATCAGAATTCAGCATTTAACAAAAGAAAAAGTTACCGTAAATCTGATTATTTTCTTTGCCTTCCAGAGCGTTAACATAATGGAGACGATTCTGAGGGAGAAGTGCGGTTGTCCTTTCGCCTGAGATGATTAAAACCGTTCTTTCCGTTAGGAACTGAAGTCAAAGGAGAACGATTTGAGGTTGATTTAAGGCAATTCTGGGCGATTCTATTTCACTGTCTGCTAAACTGATTTACCGAATCTGATGTGGAAAATGCTTAAATTTACTTTAAATAGGTACATGTTTCTTCAAAGTTGTAGATAATAAACGTGTGTGTACTGTACTGTGAAATTGGGTTAGGTTGAAGTCAGCCGGGTGCTTCAGGCTATCAGCTTATCGTTAATTCCACTGTGTACTACACACATGTTATTGAATTGATAGCAACTGTGTACTGCAAATAAACCCACACCACACAGCTCCCACGTAGAAATACTGATAACAAATACTGACTGCTTTTCGCAAGTTGCATCAAAATTATTTTCAGGATAACAGTTGGTTATTCTAACCAAATTACGCCACCATTTTCCACCACTTGTGTCTGATGATTTTCCATTGATTTCTGCCTATCCTTTGAGAAATGTATCTCCATCCTAACCTTTACCAGTGTAGCATTGCCTTGGTTTAGGGATTTATGATAGTTTGTGGCTCATATATCTGGACCAAACCCACTCTTGTTTGCAAAACTGCTTCGGTGATTGCAATCAAATTCCAACTATTGATATTGATCTCTGCATTTATAATCAATGACGTTTGATTTTGTTAGACTGGCAGCGAAACCATTTCCAAGTGAGCTTTTCATTTCTACCAAAGTGACGTTGGATATTTTATTACCGTTTGCTGTGACTCAGTCTGTCGATTTAAATGTGCCGTTCATCAGGGCACTTGTTGAAGTAAAACCTTTCCTATCCAGTTCTATAGAATTACAAACCCAATGTATGACATTGTCGCTATTCTTTTAGGTGGGGAAACTGTTGTCACACAATATATAACCAAATTACCTCATCAAACATTTGGTCTTAATGTAAATATGGTCTTAGTGGACTTTCAGGTCACAGTTAAGGCTGAGAGATCTTTCCGAAAGGGATTGCTGTTCAGTATAAGAAACAGAATCATTATTCTAGCTGAACACACGCAGGATATATCCAGTGTTTATTTAATATTGTGATCATTCATTCAATGGTGTGAAGCCATCTAATATGAATTCTGTGAATGATGTTTGTATCACTGATGTTTTGTCCACAAAAATACAGTCCAGTCACTTTACAGTATAATAATACACTGTAAAGTGAATTAACTATTTTGTAGGCGAAATGCATATTCTGTGAAGCACTTCAAGATGTCTCAAAGACGTAATAAGGTGCTTTATCAAGTGCAAGGATAATTATTAGTATTATATCTAGTGTTTTACTGATGGCGCTATGTCTGTGAAAACAATCAGCATCTCGAGTGAGGCAGCAAAAGGGTTAAACGGTCAACGGTTTAAAAAAAAAGCTGCCCTTGTGTTTTCAATATTTTTTTTTAAAAAAAACACACTTTGTCTTTTTGACCGAGAGTCTGCCAAAGCAAATCAAATAAATGCTGGTGGACAAAATGAAGAAAACCCTATAGGGTCCAGAAATATGACTCAACGGAAAACCTTTCACAGCTGTAGGACCCCTCAGGGGAACCATCAAATCACTTACAGAACAGAAATATAAATAAGCTGCATTTGGCAATAAACCATTCACTGAACTCTACCATTGGTTCAGTGTTTGAACTCTGCAGGGAAGGCTGCCATTAGTGTTTCCGCTGTTGCACAGATTAGAGGATTCAGTTCAAGATCCTGGTCCTCGGATACAAAGCCCACCATGGCCTCGCCCCACCCTACCTCTGCGATCTCCTAACCCCCTACCAACCTGCCCGTTCCCTCCGCTCAGCCGGCTCTGTCCTGCTCCTCGCCCCTCCTTAGCCTCCTTCAAGTCCCGCCTCAAGACCCTCCTCTTCGACCATGCATCGGCCACCCCCCTTCCCCTCCCTTAACCCCAACCCCAGCTCGGGTTTGAAATGCTGTACATTGTCCGGGGCCTTGGGACATCCTCCCGACGTGAAAGGCGCTATACAAATGTAATCTTGTTGTATTTCACCTGTATTTTCCTATAATATTTTGTCAGCTTCCATAGACGGCAATAATGTGATCTGTGTGAGTTGCTGCAGTTCCGATAATGTGGGAACACATCTTAAAGCAGGTCTAGGGGCAATGCGATCCTCTTGAATCATTATTTTTTAAACAAAATTTGAAGCTGAGATGCATTTGATGTTTTTATACTTGCCCCAAAGGGATTGAAGGTTCAGTCTGACCCAAACTGAAATCACCTTCAGCCCAATGCGAGTCCCTCGCTGTAGGTATCAGGGTGTTTTTATTGAAATCTTACTAAAACCAAACTGATATTTTTGGAAATCTGAAGGGATTAGGAAAAGTGAAGGCAGTAGAGCACGGCATCACTTTGTACTGCAAACTGTGCTGTATACATCAATGGATTGGTGAGCCCTACCTGTGATTCTTCAATTTATAAAAAAACTATTCACTCTAAGCTTATAAAATCAAATCGAATACCGTTTTGGAATATTCCAAGCGATAGCCCAAACTGGTGCCATGATGCAGTTCCGTCGATTGTCTTGTGTAGTATTACTCGACTTGAACGCAGGGCTGACAGAGGGACTAGACTTTTACACAAGCCAAGCGATTGAGAAGAGAGATTTCCATGATTTTACAAATTGCCACACGTTGAACACCATTATTTTAATCGGCAGTCTGTCTGATTTGATGTACGTTCAGAATCCAGTCCTGTATTTTGCCCTTACCTCACCTGTAAGTGTACAATGCCCTGGTCATTGCAATGTTCTCGATAAAACACAGATGGAGAAAGATTTCAACTGGGACGAGATTCGCTCTGTTTATGTAGTATTTTGGAATCTGACAAATTCCTAAATGCAATCTTAATTTTAAAATGGGTTAATCTGATCGGAATGATCAATTGTGTATTTTTTTTGTTGCCCTCAAAGTTCTTTTAAGAACGACAGGAGAGCAACCCCAAAATGAAGACTGGATTCAACAATTCGCCAAATTTTGTAATGTCTTAAAATAATACAGAAACAGGGGAAATCTTTAGATTCGGGTGGAGTTTCGTTTCATCGTTCTCCCGTTTGCTCTCTCCCATCGGGAGCTTTGAGGAGCTATCAATTTAAAAAAGGACAATCCGATCGGAATGATTGAAAGGTCCAGAGCTGAGCCGTACGTTCTAACTTAATAACGCTCATGAGTGTAATAAATTATGGTGTCGTTATTACTGTTCTATTACCCGCGTGTCAAGGAGTAAATGGAATGTTCTGCCAGTAATCGTCCTTTGTGATGAAATGATAAAACCAGCCGTGACCCATTGAAGTAATAAGATTGACAGTAATTTACAATTGCGAGTGACACTGCTGTATTCAGAAAGAACACAAATAAATACCGCCAGCTTTGGGGCCATTCTATTCAATATGAACCTGCTGTAGAATGGCGGCTATTTGCACAGCAATTATCTGCATGTCTGTTCTTTCTGCGTGAGGCTACTTTGCAGAACTGCACTCGAAGACTGAGAGATGCACAGACAATAAACGGGTTGCCAGATTCAATTTAGCCACCTGACCAGCTAAGTCGCCTGCAATTTCACAGGTGATTTAGCCAGTCAGGACAACTAAATCGGAACAGGACTTTTTTTTTTTGGTTGCAGCACACGAATAAATCTCTATTATGCTATTTTATCCTGTTGGGTTGGAGTCTGAAGAGAGAGACATAGAGACGGAGCAAGAGGGATAATAGGTTAGAGAGAGCCTCCGAGAAAGAGGGAGAGATAGGTAGAATGTGAGAGCGCGAGAAAAAGGACAGAATAAGTGGGAGTCAGAGAGAGAGAGAGAGAGAGGGCTGGCACTGTGTATATCACTGATAGTATAAGTCCTGCTGAAGCAGTGTTGTAGCCAATTTGGACGTTCAATTATTCACACACTACTTTTCAACAACGGACCCAGTTCCCGTTAGTCTGCCTGATCAGCTCCCTCATATTAGAATCTAAAGTGTGTACTGTACTCTTTTAAAGAGCATTTCTCAGGAAGTTGTGTAAATTATACATGAAGAATCAATTTGGAGTCGGATTAGCTTCAATTTGGATCTGCCTGTTGCACTATTTTGCTTACGTTTCCAATTTTATGAGGAACTTTGGTATCGGCTGATATTCAACATGAGACGATTGTTTCAAAACTCATTGAACCTCAACTGGAAAATTCAGAAGTTAATTGGAGTGCAATTCCTTCCTCTTGTATAAGATGAAGCAGTGAGAGTCACTAAATGGGATTTGTTTTAACGTCAGTTGACTAATTAATACATCAACAAATATAGTGCCTGTCTGATGTATCTTTAAGATGTCAGGAATTTGTTTTAAATGAGACCATTAGAGTAGAGTCTAGAATGCTGAGTAAATATATTGCTTTTATATGAATCGTTGTATTAATTCATGACTATTGTAGAAAGAAATTCCGGTGCCTTAGTTTTGCTCTGTTGTATTGATAACAAGAACCTTTTTTTTTAATCAAGAAGAACTTTTGATCGCTTTCAAAATCATGTAAAACTTTTTTTAAACTTTAAACACAATAAAATAAAGATGGTGAGAAGCATTTTAGCCGCCTATTACAACAATGTACGCGTGTTTTGTTTGGATGGAAAGATTAATTCCAAAATTCTTGTAACCAACACACGGTCACTGGGGTTGATTTGATGTCTCATCTGAAGACTGCACAATACAGTGCATCCTCCAGCTCTCTATTACTGTGTCATTGAATCGTTTGAGTTGAACGTCCCGTGTGGGGGGGGATCTGAATCCACAACCTTCTGACAACTTGCATTTATATATAGCGTCCTTCATTTGGGGTACTTAACAATGGCGAGCCAGGGGGATAAGGGGAGGTGACTGCAAGACTGGTTGAAGAGGTCTTAAAGTGAGATTTGATGATGGATAAGGAGGGGGCAAGGTGGACGGATTGGGGCAGAGAGTTCCCGAGTTTCGGCGTGTAGTGGCTGAAAGCACAGCCACCAATGGTGCACCAGAGGGGATGAGTAGGGAACACAAGCCTTCTGGAGTAACTTAACTCTGGTTCTTTGCAGCAAGCTGACAGATAGGCTTGGTGCCTTGTTGTGAAGTAAGTATGCTCAGTGGTTAGAGCACTCGCTTTGCAAGCGAGAGACCTGAGTTCAATTCCAGGCAGAGGGCGAAACCTTGGGCAAGTTTCCTTACTCCACACAGAGCCTAATAATAATCCCTCCAAAACCCAAAACAATAATAAATTGGTCATTTTCAATCTACGACTGTTTGTGGGTCATTGCTGTGCGCAATTGGCTGCCGCGTTTGCCCACAAATATACAGTCAATTCACTTTACAGTGTGTTCTGTGAAGCGCTTTGGGACGTCCTCCTGACGTGAAAAGCGCTATATCAAATGCAAGGATTATTATTATGTAGATGTTGTTTTAGGTTCTACAGAAGGTGGACGCTGGCACTTTTCCCAGATTCCTGCGAATTTCCTGAAAACGTCAAGCTGCACGAATGGCATTCACTTCACCTTTTGATCAAGCACAGGTAAGCGCGTTAATATGTGATGATTTTTACATCAAAAGTACGTGTAATCTCACCAGATTAGTTTTTATATGAAACCCAAATCTGCTTTTGGGGAGGAAACTGCTGACGATCCCAAACATTATAATAACAATAATAACAAGAACCCTTGCATTTGATAAAGCGCCTTATCACGTCTTTGAGACGTTTCAAAGCGTTTCACAGAATATACTGTAACGTGTAGTGACTGTTTATTTTGTGGGCAGCCAATCGCGCACGGTTATAGTGAGCAGGAAACGGGTTGCCAGCAGGGGAAACTTTGTGGAACCTTTTATGTCATCGCCAGCCTGTCCTACTTCGTTTGGGGGTTTGCTGTGAAAATGAAGTTGAATGTTTTTGTCAGCAGAGCTTCCTGGTTGTGCAGTGGTGTGACCGCAAATTTCATAAACACTCGTATCTTAACGGCTGCTTGAAAATGTCATTTGTCAAAGGTGGCTATTGTCTAAAATTCTCAACCATGTGCGATCAACATCATATGCTTGCCTTTCCCTGGGTTGGAAAGCAGCTAACGTTGGCTCACACTCCACCTGTGTGTCAGCAGATCCCAATACAATTGGTGGTCGCCACCAATTATAATGAATAACAATAATA